GGTGGAAAAAAGCCCAATGTCCATCAGGTGATACAAAGGTAAATAATATGTGGTATATACATACTATATAATATTATTCAGCCTTAAAAAGGAATGAAATTCTGTTACAGGCTACAACATGGATAAACCCTGAAAACATTATGCTAAGTGAAATAAGCCAGACACAAAAGGACAGATACATTTTATATGATTCCACTCAGGGAACTAGAATAGGCAAATTCACAGAGACAGAAAGCAGAATGGTAGTTACCCAAGGGGCAGAAGAAGGGAGAATGGGGAATTATTGTTTAATGGACACAGAGTTCTGTTTGAGATCATGAAAACGTTCTAGATATGGATAATAGTGATAGTTGCACAACACTGTGGATGTACTGAATGTTACCGAATTGTACACTTTAACAAGAGTCCACAAAGTACACAAAGCAAAAGCCAACTTGAAAACAGAAGTAAATAATTCAATAGCAATAGTTGGGAACTTCAATCTCCCATTCTCAATAATTGATAAAACATTTAGAAATAAATTAAGACAAAAGACCTGAACAATACTATCAACCAACTTGATCTAACTGAAATCCATAGATCCTATTCCTATGACATCAGAATACACAGTTTTTTCAAAGGCACATGAAATATTCTCTAGAGTAGACCATATGCTCTGCCAAGTGTTGGCAAATGTTTTCTGCTCACCAAATACTGCAACATATAAAAAGGATTATATACCATTATGAAGTGGAATGCAAACATTCGGTTTTGCAAGCCACATACTATCTTTGCCACATAGTCTTCTTCTTTAACAACCCTTTAATAATCTAAATACCATTCTTAGGTCACAGGCTGTACAAAAACACGTATATAACAAGTTGCAATAAATATTTAAAAACTGAATACAAAGTATATTCAATGCCTACCATGGAATTAATTTGAGAAATTCTGAAATATTTGAAAATTGATTAACATGCAACTAAATAATCCAAAAGTCAAACAAGAAATTATAAGGGAAATTTTAAATATTTTGAACTTAACAAAAATGAAAACAAAACATATCGAAATTTATGGGATACAACTAAAGGAGTGGTTAGAGAGAAATTAATGGTTTTTAACAGCTATGTTAAAAAAGAACAAATCAGATCAATAACCTAAAATTCCACCTTAAGAAATTATAAAAGAAAAGCAAACTAAACCTAAAGTAAGCAGAATAAAAGAAATAATATAGACTAGAGTAGGAATCAATAAAAAAAAAAGAAAAGTTGGTTCTTTCAAAAGGTCAACAAAATTGGCAATCCATTAGCCAAACCAACGAAGAAAAAAACGAACAAGATGCCAATTTCCAAAATCAGGAATGAGACGTAACTACCAACTCTACGGAAATCAGAAATATTACAAAGATACTATGAGAAACTTTATGCCAACAAATTAGACAATTTGAAAGGAATGAATAAACTTCCAGAAAGACAGAAATTACCAAAACTGACTCAAGAAAAAGCATTCACCCTAAATAGAGCCATATAATTTTTAAAAATTGAATCAGTTTTTAAAATCTTCCCACAAAGAAAAGTCTAAGCACCAATGCCTTCACTGGTAGATTTTATCAAATATTTAAAGAAGAAATAATACCAGTATTTTACAAACTCTTCCAAAAATAGGAGAAAACACTTCCCAAGTCACTCCATGAGGCCATTATTACCCCAATACCAATGTCAAAGATATCACTAGAAAACTACAGACCAATATCACTTATGAGTATACAAGCAAAAATCCTCAACAAAATATCAGTAAACCTAATACAACAATATATAAAAAAGGATTATAAACCCTGACCACATGGGATTTATCCCTGAAATATAAGGCTGGTTTAACATCAGAAAATCCATTCATGTAATACACCCTATTACTCAAAAAAGGACCAAAAACACACATGATCATCTCAATAGATATAGAAAAGGCTTTTGAAAAACCCAACACCCATTCATGATAAAAACTTCTCAACAAACTAGGAATAAAAGAGAACTAATAATTTACTGGCTAGACCCTCCAGAACAATGTTGAATAGAAGTAAGAGTGACAGACATCCTTGCCTTGTTTCCAAGTGTATGGGGAAAGCAATTCAGTCTTTTTTATGAAGATATATGAAGATACATGAAGATAGCTGTAGGTTTTTCATATATGCCCTTTAATAAGACAGAAAGAAGTCAAAGGCATCCAGGTTGAATAGGAAAAAAATACTGTTTTTTTATCCACAGACAGCATATTCCTGTATTCAGATGTCTCTACAGGTTGAATAGGGAAAAATACTGTTTTTTTATCCATAGACAGCATATTCCTGTATTCGGATGTCTCTACAGGTTGAATAGGAAAAAATACTGTTTTTTATCCATAGACAGCATACTTCTGTATTTAGATGTCTTTAAGGAATCCACATATGCACACATAAAAAATCCATTATTAGAACTAGTCAATGAACTCAACAAGGTTACAGGTTACAAGATTAATATATAAAAATCAATTGTATCCCTAGCCTGTTTGGCTCAGTGGTTAGAGCATCGGCCTGTGGACTGAAGGGTCCCGGGTTTGATTCTGGCCAAGGGTACGTACCTCAGTTGCAGGCTCAATCCCTGGCCCCAGTCACCAATTGATGTGTCTCTCTCACATCAATGTCTCTCTCTCCCGTCCATCCCTCTCTCTCCCTTCCACACTCTCTGAAAAGCAATGAAAAAAATATCCTCGGTGAGGATAAATAAAATCAATTGTATTTCTATATACTAATAAAGAATAATCCAAACATGAAATTAAAAAAATTCCAATCACTTAGGAATAAATTTTAAAAAAGCAGACATGAAAGGCTTTTATACTGAAAACTGAGATTAAATAAATGGAGAGAGATTCCACGTTCGTGCACTGGAAGATGATGGCAAATTTCCCTAAACTGATCTAGCAATGTGAACTCAACAAAATCCAAAGAGGGGTTTTGTGGGGGAAAGAAATAGAGAAACTGATACTAGAATGACATGGAAATGCCAAGAACACAGAATACCCAACAATTTTAAAAGAGAGAGAGTTGAAGGACTCAAGCTTCTCGTTTGCAAAGCTCACATACAGCTTTAATAATCAAGACTATGAGGTATAGCTATACAGGTCAATGAGTAAAACAGTGTCCTGAAATAAATGCTAACTTTTTAAAAGTACGTTTTTATTGATTTTAGAGAGAGAGGAAGGAAGAGGGAGAGGGAGAGAGGGAGAGAGAAACATCAATTGGCTGCCTCCTGCACGCCCCCTACTGGGGATTGAGCCCAAAACCTGGCATGTGCCCTGACCAGGAACTGAACCAGCGACCTTTTGGTGAATGGGACGACATTCAACCAACTGAGCCACATCAGCCAGGGCAATGCTAACTCTTATGTAACTGATTTCTGAAAAAAAATGCCAATGCAATTCAATAAAGAAATTATGCTCTTTTCAACAAACACAATGCTAGAACCAACTGGATGTCTACATGCACAAAGATGAATCTAGACCTTTATCATACAAAAAGCTTAACTCAACAGGAATCATATACCTAAATGTTAAGAGCTAAGCTATAGAACTTCTAGGAGAAAACACATTAAGAAAATTTTCATGACTTTGGGATAGCCAAAAATTTCTCAGGTGCAACATCAGAAAAGAAAAACACTGTTAAACTGGACTTCATCAAAATTAAAAACTTTTGTGCTTCAAAAGATACCAGTAAGACAAAAGACAACCCACAGACTGCAAAAATATTTGCAAATCAGATATCTGATAACGGACTTCTATCCAGAATATATAAAGAACAATTACAATGCAATAATAAGACAAACAAAGCAATTTAAAAATGGGTAAAAGATTTAAATAAACATTTCACCAAAGAAGATACATGAATGGTTAATAAGTACATAAAAAATGTTCAACATCATTACTCATTAGGGAAATGCAAACTAAAACCACAATGAGACAGCATTTTATACCCACTAGAATGGCTATAATAAAAAAATAGAAAATAACAAGTATAAGAGTACGTGGTACCCAGCCAGGCGTGGCTCAGCGGTTGAGCATCAACCTAGGATCCAGGAGATTGCGGTTCGATTTCCAGTCAGGGCACATGCCCAGGTTGCAGGCCCAATCCCCAGTCGGGGACATGCAGAAGGCAGCCGATCAATGACAACTCTCCTATCATTGATGTTTCTATCTCTCTCCCCCTCTCCCTTCCTCTCTCTGAAATCAATAAAGATATATTTAAAAAAAAAAAAAAAAGAGTATGTGGAGCAATTGGAACCTTCATATGTTACTGGTAAGAATGGAAAATGGCCCTTCCACTTTGGAGAAACTTGGCAGTTTTTCTTAAATAGTTAACTTATCTTATGACTCAGAAATTCCACTCTTGGTATCTACCCAAGAAAATGAAAAATAGTGTCCACACAAAGACTTATATACTAATGCTCATAACAGCATTGTTTATACTAACCAAAAACTGGAAACAGTTCATATGTCCATCAACTGGTGAATGGATAAAAAAAAAATGTGGTACATCCACATAATGGAATGCTTGTTTAACAATAAAAAGAAACTACTGATACATGCAACAACATAGATGAACCTTGAAAACATGATGCTGAGTGAAAAAAGCTAGATGCAAAAGAGTATACAATGTTACTCTATTTATATGAAATGTTCAGAAAAGGCAAATCTACAGATATAGAAAACAGATTAGAGGGCCTCTGAAGATGGGTCTGGGAGTGGGTACAGGCTACAAAACAGACACAAGGGATATTTTGAAAGGGTTATGGAAATGCTCTAAAACTCCACTGTCGTAATGGTGTAAAACTTTATATATTTACAAAAACTGTTGACTCATACACTTAAAATGGATAAGTTTTATGATATATAAATTATATCTCAATAAAGCTATTTTTAAAAAGTGGCTAAGAAGTTAAGATGCAAGCAAACAAAAGAGCAAGAACAACAAAATAAATATGGCATTTTCTTACCTCTGCTGGATATACTGGGCATAATCTGAGGAATCATATTATTGCTTGTATCCATAGGCTGGGAATTATCTTGGCCCATCTGATCATCTGGTGGCATATAGGCAGGAGGAGGGGTATCAGCTAAGAGGAAGAAAATGAGACAAGTTAAATTCCCAAAAGAATAGTTAAAGTCTTCGTCCTGTTCAAAGTTATCCTAAAAGCATTTAAAAATTCATGTTTACCAGCAGAGTTCGTTAATGAGTATCACAGACACACAAAAATGAAGGATGCTATCTTAGCGCAAAGGAAAAGGAAAAAAGACAGCACAACCATTAGCTACTGAAAACCTACTGTAAGTCCACATATATTTGGGATAATCAGTATAGTAAGATTAATGCTAAAACTCACTAAAATATAATTCAAGGTCAAGAAATTCACCTTTATTTGCTCAGAATCATATGCTCTGAGAAACTGCAAACACTGGAAAGCAATCTGAAGGACACAATTTTCCTAGTATGGGTATGTATCTATAGACACTTTTAAATTATCAACCTCATCACATACTGTTTATTGTTATTTAAAACTGGAAAATAAAACTATGCTCCTTCAAAATTTGCCATCACTACTAAGAGCAACTGTCTTAATTTTTTGCAACACCTTAAAATGGCTGTTATGCCTTATTAAATGGCTAGGTAATTCTCTCAGGAAATGGAATGCAATTAGAAAATCTTTTGAGTTCCAACACATATGGCTGAAATTCTTTGCAAAAGCTATAGCTATAATTCCCTGTCTCAGTAACTATAAAGACTGAATATAATTTGTCTTTCAACCCCAAGGTTTGTACAAGATAATATTTTGAAACAAGAGCTACAATAAAAACTGAATCTAGGAAAGAGTATGAAAATTAGCTTTTGAACAAATACCTAACAGCAAGTTAAATGTTTGGTACTTAATTCCTCTTCAAAAAAACAAAAAACAAAACAGAACAACATCAATTGATATTTTGCTACAGAGAAGCCACAAAGAATATACTTACTTACATATGACTCCGCCTGCAATAGGCATTCAAATATTTGACAGAGTGACAAAAGATGTGTCTGCACATGACTTGACATACCATTAACAAGTTAGAAACATGATAAATTATAATCTACTTATCTTTCTCCAGACAAATCAGTTAGTCAGTTATCTAATTAAAGATAACTGGAATTCATTTTAACCTTTCAAAGTCTAAAATGATTTGACAAACAATGTAGTAAAGTTCAAAAAGTACAGACTTTAAAGTCAAACAAACTTGGGTCTGAACCTCCATTTATTAGCTGTGTGACCTGAGGCAAGGTACTTAAACTCTTGGAATTAGTATCAATTTATTTTTCCATCTGTAAAACAGGAATAATATCTCTCTCACATGTTGAAGATTAAATTCAATGTAATATCTTTCATTACAATATCAGTTATATAAAAGGCGCTCAATAAATGGGACTTAGTATTATATGAAAATATGTAAACATATGGTATTTGGCAAAATAAAATCCAAAACTCTTCTGTAAATCAATTACCAAAGAATACAGAGTCTGATGTAGCTAGCTCTTAGCATAGAGCAGTTCACCCAGAGGGCCAGCAGTATAACTACTGCTGATTCTTAGGGTTTATTTTTTTGTATCAATAAAATGAATTCTTACCTGGGAGCTGAAATGGACTTCCTGGTCCAGAACTTGCTGGGGAGTTGGGATACGTGCTGCTAGCAGGAGAAGGGGGATAGGGGCTATTTGGAGATAAGGGAAAAGGAGTGTTGTTGGGCTGGTGGAAAGAATCTGGAAAAGTTGCATTTTGTGGCATATGCGGTTCATTGTGGCTCAGGTTTCTAAACTGAACCAGAAGGCTGTGTTGTGGATTGAATTCATTATGACGAGGCACTAATACTGGAGGTAAGACTGAAAGGCAAAAATCAAAAGTCATCTGTCAGCAACAACTAAAGCAAATATCTCATGCACATTAAGGGGTACATGGAAAGGATTCAGTTAAGACTGTAAACCCATTATACAATTCACTTATGGGAAGGACTGCTTTGTAGAACCTTGAATCTATTTACATAATAAGGAAACCAAAAACTCTCTAAGCATTTAGCATGTATAAAGTACTCTGGAAGACAGAACACCCAGGAAAGATATCATTCCTGTTCTACAGGAGATAAGGCATATTTTAAAACCATAATACAAAAAAACATTAATGCAATAGGAGTTCAACAAAGGTGAGTACTTCCAGCTGGTAATGAATCAAACAAAATATTGTGGAAAAGATAGTATCTGACTGGACCTTAAAGAACTAGGAGGCTTTCACAAGGGAGTGCTAAGGGTGGGAAGAATCAAGGAGGAGATGGGGAGATTCCAGGAGTGAAATGAGAAAGGATCAACAGCTGGCCTAGCCACTGAACCAGGAAGCAAGACGGAGAGACTGAAGTTGAGTTCAGCTGTATAGACATCTTGAAAGCCTCCATGTTTCCAATTCTGAACATTTCATGTTTCTTAGTTTGAGAGATCTCACATTTTATGTTCTTCAGTAAAGTTTTCCCTACTCAAAATAATAACCTTTCCTATGTATAAGTCTTCAATCAAAATCAATTTTCTAAACATGACCATAATGAAAATCTATACAACAAAGCCTAAACATTTTAAGATACATTTTTAAAACAATACACTTTATTTACACATTCACTTTCTCTAAAGACCCCAGTGATCAAGCGCATACAAATATCTGATTACCTTTCACCACAGGAATCAGAAACAAACCTAATTTCTTCAAACTCTTACTGTACCAGTTCATCTCTTCTACAGCTTTCCTACACTTGTCAATGTAATTTCACTTCTGAAAATCTCTTTGACATCATTCAGCAGCAATAAAATCCATCTGTTTTTAAGTTTACTAGGTCATCCTTCTCCTTCCAGAAGCAGGATGTACCTGAGGAATCAGAGCTCTTATCTGTACTGTTGTTCTTTTTTTTTGGTCTCTTTTTATTTTACTGAACTAGTGTTGTAATTATGCGGGTAATATCTGTTTACAACTATTTTTATTCTACTGTGTATTACCAACTGCTGTCCCTCTCACAGACTGATGGGACAGCTCGCTGCCACAGGAGAGTAGGAGGGCATTAGACAGCAAAAAGTTCTATGTTTAGCTAACTAGCAATCTGAAAGACTTAGTAAAATAACTACTTAAGTATTCAATCCAGTAAGGGTTTCTTCACTTTATTTTTTTAAAGGCAGAGCTAAAATCATTGACTTCTCTCTTATTTGTATATCTATACACATTTTTTAGTAATTATTTACATCCAAAATAATGCATGGATAGTTTTAAAACACAGATACTACAAGAGATTATAATAAAAACAGCAACTTCTAAGTCTCCTCATATATTGCTTCCAGAGACAAATATAAACTCTTAGCCATTTTTTTCTAATACTTTATGTACTGCTAGATAATGTTTATATTACTATTATTGATTTCAAGACATTATTTGTACACCTGCTGTTATGGCAAATGAAGTAGCTTTCTTAATCTCATTCTAACCTGCTCCCACTCCCCTTCCCCACAATAATAAAGTTATATTAAAAAATTTTTGTTAAATTAATATCCATTGTTTATATAAAGATTATGCATTGTTGAGCTAAGTATGTACTAAGATTACATTTTTTTGTGAAGAGTGCTTATACTAGTTAATTATTGCCTTGTTCCTTCATTTGCTTAATCATATTTACCACTAATATTTCCAGAAGTCCAACAGATCAGTCACATTCCTATCAATATTATTTTCCACAAAATAAACCAAAAAGTACACTGATTCCATTTTTTCCCCTGGATTGTCCATCCTTTTGCTAAAATCTAGACTGGCTGCTACTTAAGTCTCCTGCAAATTTGAAGTCCTTGGACTTCCATTCTTTTCTCTCCTGTTGGATCTCATTTCCTGGACCTCATCTTCCTCAATTAACTGCCTAAGAAACAGTGTGTAAATTCTGAGTCCTTGCATATACAATAGGTCTTGCCTTTTATGGAGGGCAACCTGGGTTGGCCCTCTATGTTTCTTTTCCAACTATCCTCCATCTTTTTTAATTTTTTTGTAATACTTTCTGGCTCCACTATATATTAGCAATGTGATCTTGTCTAAGTTACTTCCCTTGGTTTCCTTATTTGTGAATTTATTAGGTTTTAAAATGTTAGTACCATTTTCTAACCCTATGAAGAAATAACCTCATAGTATTAGAAAAGTGCCCAGTCCATAAGTGCTCAATAAATGTGTATTACTATTACAGTTACTACTACTACCACTTTATTACTACTAGTACCATAAAGTGATCCATCCTGTATCACAGATGCTTGATTCACTTGCTTAAGCATACCAGAGCTATGCCCCAGTCTTTTCTATAGAATGAATCATGGCTGAGAAAAATGGATTATAAAAACTAAAACATTTCTATAGGGGGAATAGCTGCGCCTATGGGGGAATACACTATATTCCTAGACTTTTTTCCCAGCAACTCCTAGAAAATATCAAGCTAGGGAGTTTTTCAGACTACGCTTCTCTATTAAATCCACACATCTTCCTTTCTTCATCAACTCCTTCAGGCTATAGATTTCTTTAGATTCAATGAGAAATTGAGAATCACCTCAAATACCAATTAAAGCCCTTAAACTGAACTTTCTCTGACAACACCATCCCTGCTATTCTTTTTGCTAGTCTCCACATTCAATATTATTTTCACAGCCTTTTTACCATACTGGGCTTCTATTATCTCCATGTAAAACTCCGTGTGGCACAGACTCCAGGGTGACTACCATAACTACCATCTCTGTGTACCATTCTTGTAGAATCCCCTCCCTTTAAGTGTATTACCTGTGATTTGCTTCTAACCAACAGAATATGGCAAAACTAATAGGATGTATGTGATAACATTCCGTAAGAATATGCCTTCCAGCAAAAAGACCCTCTCTCTTCTACCAGCTTTGAAGAAGTAAGCTGTCATGAATGTGCGCTATCTATGAAGAGGTCATGTGGCAAACAAAGGAAGGCAGCCTCCAGGTGACAACTAGCAAGAGTCCAACAGCCTGCAAGGAACTGAATCTTGTCAATAATCACAGGAGCTGACAAGCAGATCCTTCCCTAATTGAGCCTGATGAGGTCCAAGCCCTGACCAACACAAAAGACCCAGTTAAGTGGTGCCTAGACTCCTGACCCACAGAAACTATGAGATAATAATGTGTATTAAGCCACTTAACTTGTGGTAGTTTGTTATGCAGCAGTAGATAACTAACGCATGCAGCTAGTATCTCAGCTTATACAATTCACTCATTACAAAAACTATTTACTGAGCACAATCTATAAAGTGCCAGGTAATATTACTATTGTAGGCACTGGGGATGCAATACAGAATGAGATAGAGGAAGGTCCTGCTCATGTCAGTCAATAAACAAAATAAATGTCTAACACAATGTCAAGTAATGATGCAGGTATCTGAGCAAGCACTGAATGGAGTGAGAAAATGTGCCATATAAAGATCCTGGGAGAAGAGTACTGTAAGTAAGAAAACAGCAAGAAAAAAGCCTAGATGCAGGAATATGGCAGGTCCAAAGAACAGAGGAAGTCTGACAGGTCATGTAGGGTCTCGCAGAAATTTGCTCTAAGTGTAATAGAGGGCAGGGATTGACGTGATTTGGTATATATTTTAAACTATCACTCTATCTGCTACATAGAAAACAGACTGGGTTGGAGAGGAACAAAAAGAGGCAGACAGATCAATTAGAAGACTACTGCAGGTGAAAGATGATGATACTCTGTACTGGAACCGTGGTATCAGAGATGGTGAGAGATGATATTATCAAGATATATTCTGGAGGTACAGCAAAGAGTATTTGCTCACAGCTCAAACACAGGACTTCAAAGAGAAAAATCAAAGATGCTTATAAGTAGCTACTGCAGGAATGCTGGTGCCACTGACTTCAATAAGAAAAACTGGAGAAACAAATGACTTGGTGGGAGAAAAAATCAAAAGTCTTATTTAGACATTAAATATATGTTTATTGGACATATTCAGGTGGAAATATCAAGTAGGCAATTGGATACAAGTCTAAATCTTAGAAGAAAGGTTGACTTTGCAGTTCTAAATGTTAGCGTGAGGTAATAGATGGTTTCAAGACATGTGACAGAATGAGAGCACACTTAGAGGAAAGATACATGGAGAAATTGTCTAGAGACTAAGTCCTGTGAAAATAGGAAAATAAACCAACAAAGCAGCTAAGCACAAACAGGAAACTATAGTGTTTCAGGAGCCAATAAAAAAAAAGTTTTGAGTGAGAGGGAAGGAAAGCAACTATATCAAATGATGTTGGGAAGGCAAACAAGATGAGGACTGAGAATGACTGACCCCTCTATCTGTAAGAAGGCAGTCCCTAGTGATCTTGACAAGTCAAATGGTAGAGAAGAAAGGCTAACTGGAGGGGTGTCAAGGAAGAATGGGAGGAAAGAAATGTGAAGATAATAAAAATGGACACTCCTCTAAAAGAACTAGAGGAAATAGTGCAGAAGATTGGGGGTGAGGAGGTATGAGGCCAAGACAGGAATTCTTTTTTAACTTTCAGTTTAGGATGGGCAGTATTATGACATGCTTATAGCTCTCACAAATAGTCAAATAGAGAGGAAAAATATAACGCTGGGGAAAAGTTCTTAAACAGACAAAAAGGGGTGGGATGTAGTATGAACATGGAGCTTAGGCCTTAGATCAAATAGAGACAGGTCATTCACAGGAATGGCAGAGAGTACATATAACTGACTCCTTAATAATGAGTTAGAGGTAAGCCACTTGGGAGCTATATCATCTATATGTAAAAAGCTGAATTCAAAATCCAGTATTCCTTCCAAAATTAAAATCTTTAAGAAGAAAAACACAAGGCTAATATAACCTTTTAATTACTAAATCAGGTTAAACGCAAATCAGCAAGAGAGAAGTTTTTTTAATTCTTCTCAACGGAGTAAAACCTACCTGGACTCTCCACTCTCTTATAGTGGTATGGGTTGATACAAACTTCTTTTTGCTTAGATCCAAAAGGAAATTCACAAATATCCAATGGTTTTAGCTCATGATGACTCTGCAAATCAGGCCAGCGCCAAACACGACAATATATAACATGGGGTAAGCCTTTTCTGTGAGAAACCTGCAGGCGTCCATCTAAAGATCGGGGAATAGTGACACATTTGCTCGGCTGTCCTGGACTACTCAAGGCTTTCTCCAGTTCCTCCATGGCACCCTTTTTCTTTTTTAGCTTTTTCACCAAAGCATCAACTGCCTTTTCTGCCCATTTCTCCTCTTCATCACCTTGCTTCCAGCCCAACAATCGCTTTACTGCTGGACTAGTAAAAGAAAACAAGCTGGCCATTGACGTCATTTGATATAAATCTTCAGAGACCTTCCTGCAACTCAAAGTCAGTGGCTACTGAATGAACAGATCACAGATGAAAAGTCATACACGGGTCCTAAGCAGAAGTTCCAATTAAAAAGGGAAGAGGGACATTTATCTTCTTAACTGCCATAAGCTTCTTTCACTGGTTCAAGTCCTGAAAGAGAAAGGAGGAAAGGATAAGATCCCTAATTTAAAGAATGCAATTAACATACATTAAAATCAACATAACTGAAAAGTATGTTATTTTTATATAAGAGCAGAAAAGCATTACAAAGTAAAACAAAAAAGCCTAAGTCTAGAAAGAAAAATTTTCTCTAAAGTCCTGTGACTACTCAATTTCTTCTTCATAATATGAACAAATAATTCACAGGCAATGCCAAGGGATAACCAATAGCAAAAACAGGTTGCTCTACTTTCTACTTATTATCCAACAATACAACAGCATCTAGATTTTAATTTTGTTGGTCAGGCTAGTAAGCCCCCAAATGGCCGCCTAAGGTTTGATTCTGAAGTACTTTTCTTCATTGAAACCCATGTTACATGCTATGTCAATTTTGAACATGATATGTCCTGATTTGAACAAAAATCTAGCTCTTCCCTAAGGTCATTATTGTCTTTAAAATGTTTCACAGACATAAGGTTTGGGCAAAAGGCATGGTCTTATTCAATCACATTATTAGATGCAAATTTTATTAAAGGTTGTCATAAGACAAAATGTACCAAGCCCTCAAATAAATCCTCACATACATCGTTGCCAGAAAAATGGAAAGTATCTATTTTTTAAACTAAGAATGCAAAATAAATTTAAAGAGAATTCAAAGTTTAACCCAGAAAAGGACAGTTAATAATTTTATAATTCCTACTGCCTTTTGTGATATTTTAAGCATGTTAAGTTAATGAACCTGCTCCAGGCAGACCACTACTCTGCACCATTAAGAAGCTCTTCGAGTTGATGACAAGAGGAAGTGATGTGCAATGGCACTCCACTGATAAGAATGGGTAAAATCCCCTGTGGTGACTACACAGACAACTACAGACAATGAGCAACCAGTGAAGTAGCAGGAGTATGCTGGAAAAAAGTTGTCAATAATAAAAGATGCTTCCTTTCTTGTGCCTAAAATTGCCAAATACAGCTGCAGCTCTCCTGTGACAAATTCTAGCATCAGGACTATTCTGTATTGAGGGTGCATCTTCCCAGAAAAGAATGTATGTGCTCAGTTAAAATCCAGTTAAACATAAAGTAAAATAAAACTGAATTAAATTCAACAAATAATTATTGCTTGTTATGTGCCACTTACTGTGAACAGCGATAATAGTGCTTTAAAAACAAAAAGCCATAGCAAATAGATCTCATCTTCAGAGCCAACTGATTCATTCATTCAGCATATACTTACTGAGAGCCTACTATGTGCCAAGCACTGTTCCTGGCACTAATCAATTAGTAGTAGCTATCTAGACTGCTTTGTTGCTGTGTTAGAACCATGGGGAGAAGGGTGCAGAGAAGTGAGAATATACTCTTTACATATGAATAAATATGCCCAATCCTACATAGGATAATTTTTGCCAGGTAAGTAAAACTGGCTACATTAAACTGCAGCTCTATAACAAAGAATGAAAACACATTTTTCAGTAATAGGTCTCGGACTATAAAGTGTTATGTACTAAACAAACTTTAAGAAGGGCTGACCTCAGTTGTAGCTACATCAAGGACATAGGATATAAGTCATCTGAATCAGAAAGTAAAGGCATGGCTGGGTTGTGTAAGCTGAGCAGGGAAATTTCAAAGACAAAAGGATATAAACAAAAAAAGTTATGAGAAGACATGAATAGAGCATTTCCTACGACAGAAAGGAGAGAGGCCTGGCTGAGTGAGATCTTATTCAGCAATATTGGAATATAACGGAGGCTAGACAGGATAATGCATGTGTGTGTGAGAGAGTATATATGTGCAATGGAGAGATACAATGAAGGGGGAGACAAAAGGAGTGGAGTTTAAAGACCAGATACTAGATTAGTAGTTAACCACTACAAAGTGCTTAATAAATGTTAACTACTAATCTAGTCTTATCACCATTATCATCATCATTATTATTTTTAAATACTAACCATATTATGTACTAAAGAAAAAACAAAGGAAGTTAAAGTTACCTCTGGGGAGAGGCAATAGAGAGGAATCCTGTGTGATTTATTCTATCTACTTCTGTATTGTTCTAACCTTTTAACGAAAGGAATCTATTAATACATCACTTGCATAATGCTAAAATAAAAAGAGTACTTAATCTACAACAAATTATGATGAACAGAATGGGGTTAAGAGTGCTGGTACAAAACAGGAGAAACTAATGCATGCTAGTAAAAGTCACGATGGTGATTACCCTTTGAAGGAAAGGGTGAGGGTATTAACTAGAAGGGAACCTAAGGGTTTCTGCCGTCCTGGTAAAGTTCTGCTTCTCATTTTAGGTGATTAAATGGGAGAGTTCAGCTTGTGAAAATTCAGCTCGCTGGAGAGATAAGATGTGTACACTTTTCTGTATGATTTAAAACTATTTTCTCCCCATCATCAGTTCCCTTTCTCACAAGCAATCCCTTTCATTTGCATGTTTTATGTCCTTTCAAAAATATTTTGCATAAATACAAGCAAATACAAATATATATAAAAATCTTTTTTTACACAGTGCTATACTAAAAAGAAAAAAAGGCAGTTACAGAAAAATGTACAGTGTATCTTCAAGACCTTTCCATATCAATATAGAAAGAGCTTCCACATTATTCACAGAATTCCAGTGTGAAAATAATCTTAAAAGTACATCAACCATGTCATTCCCCTGCTCAAAAATTATCCAGTGGCTTCCCATTACACTCAATATCCAAATTCCCTAACATCACTTTATAGCATCTACATGATCTGGCCTTTGACTTCTCCAAACTCATTTCTTACCATCCTCCTACCTAACTTTGCACTCAACTATGCTTGACTTCTTTCCATTTCTCAAGTGTTCCAGGGTCATTCCTATCTGAAGGCCTTTGCACTTGATGTTCCCTCCCCTGGCATTTTCTTTTCCCAGATCTTAACATGACTTACTCTCTCAATTAATTCAACTGCTCAGATGTCACCTCCTGAAAAACGACTTCCTTGAACATTTTATTTAAAATAGCTTACATCCCACCCCCACATCATTCTCTATCATTTGACCCTCCTCGATTTTCTATCATGGAACTTAACCTAACCAGGCATTACATTATCAATTTTACCAATTTATTATATGTCTTCCCCCCTGAAATGTTATTAGGCAGGTAGCCTCATCTTCCTTATCCACCATCATATTCCCTACACCTAGAACAGTGCCTATTTATTAAATAAATGAGTTTTTTTTAATTTTGTGAAATATGCATGCCTTTATAAGAGCATCTGTATAAATTTTTTTTTTAATGTTGTTTATGGATAAACATAGATACAGTAATGGAATAAAAGTATGCATGGAGCCTGGCTGGGCGTGGCTCAGCAGTTGAGCCTTGACCTAGGATCCAGGAGACGGCAGTTCGATTCCTGGTCAGGGCACATGCCTGGGTTGCAGGCTCAATCCCCAGTTGGGGGTATGCAGGAGGCAGCCGATCAGTGACTCTGTCACCATTGATGTTTCTCTCTCTCTCTCTCTCTCTCTCTCTCTCTCTCTCCCCCCCTTCCTCTCTCTTGAATCAATAAAGATATATTTTTTTAAAAAGTATGGATGGAAATGATACATACCAACCTCAGGGTACTGAATACTGACTTACAAAAGAAGGAAAGGATGAAGAAAGGATGGGAAAGATTTAGCTGTGTTTCTTATAAAACTCGATTTGAAGAAAATCTGGCAAATCATAAGATGTTATTTTCTCTGCTTTTCTGTGTTTAAATGTTTCATAACTCAAAAAATTCACTATTTTTAATTTTTAAAAAGTAATCTAATGAAAACAGAAGGTCAGATTCTGTCCTTTACTAGGTATATGACCATGACCAGGTATCACTCTTTCTAAGCCTATAAACTTTTCTGGACAGTAGGTATAATGGTTCCTAAGACAATGAAATGATGAAGTAATAAAGTAGTGTGTGTGTATGTGTCTACATGAGGAAGATTACACACATGTAATAGATACTTTATAAACCGAAAAGTGCTATTCAAATTTGAATTATGATCATCAGTGTTCAAAGGAAGAAGAGTCAAGACTTCAAAGACTGGTTAGATTTAGTCTCAATCCAACGTACCCACCACTGTACCACTGTACCCAGTTTCTGATTCAATCCAAATCACTGCACCTCTGCCCATCTGTGTCTTCCGAGAGAAATCTCACCATCCTTAATGATAAACTCAAATCTACCCCCTTTGGTGAAGAATTCTTCACCCTAAAGAGGCTATGGCCATTTATTATACTTATTATAATTAATGAATAATATCTTAAATGGTAAAAATATATCTTAATTTCCCAAATGGAATACAAAATCCTCCCAGGAAGACATCTTCAGCACCTGGCATTATGCCATGTCCCATGCCACATACTAAGGGAATATATAATGAATGGTCATTGATTTTTCTATCAACTGTACCTTGCAATTAAAAAGATAACTTCAAATTTTAAATCCAGGTGACTAAGATAATGACAATTCCATTAATAGAATTAAGGATACTAAGAAAGTGGCTTAGTCAGCAGAACAGATGGTTAACTCTACTGGAAAAGGGGCATGAATGGAGACGTAGGTTTAGCAAAGAAAATATGAGAAACAGATTTAAGATTTTGCACAAAGAGCTGAAACAGTAAGAAAATGTAGATTTTCAACAGAATGAAAGAGCAGCAAGTAAATACCTGAATATTAGGGAACGTTCACTGGTAGGAAAGAGTTACTGATAAAGTATCCCTAAAAGGAAGATCTTAGAGCTAGATACAATAGTACTGTAGGAGATTAAGCAAATGGGAGAGTTTAAAAAATGTGAACAAAGAAAAGGCCAATGACTTTGTGAGTATTGTATGGCGATGTCATTAGTTAGCCTTCAAGAGATTGGCTTCAGAAAGAATAAGGAGTGTCAGGTTTTAAAACCTAAGACTCAATATTACTGTTTTCTTAAACTAGCACTAGGGTCCTGGGTGGTGTGGCTCAGCTGGTTGGATCATAGTCTCATG